TTCAGAACAATCAGTTTAAGTGATGAGTACTGCTCGTAGAAGTTTGGAGTCTAAATGTATATTACAATTCGACCACTCTAATTTAAAGAGTAATATCAGAGAACATACAACAATGGTTAAAAGTCATCACCACCGAAGATGTGGGTAATACCATGACAAATCGTATGAAATCTATAACCAACGATTTTTCAGATTTGTCATATTTTTTCATACGCTTATTATAAAAAGAATGAAGGCTGTTTGTTCAATACAAAAACACTATATTACCAGTTAATTGCTTTTTGAACAAAATAAAAGAATATTCTGAGTGATTATCAAGCAGCGTTGCTCAAGTTCAAAAGTTCACATGAATATAATTCTTTTGAAGAATATGATTGTTTTTTTTTTTAATACTTATTATTTGAATGAACAGTTAAGGCATAACGCATGTGAGGCAAGACAGCAAGCCGGCATGTAGGAGCACATTGTAAGCGATTGTGACTATGATGTATTAGGCATTCAAGTTTTTATCGGCAAACTGACATCAAACAGCATGCGAGACACTGCAAGAGGTCCAAATACATAACTATATATATATATATGAAGATTTGTATATATGTCTATGGAATTATGAGCCAAGAATTACACATAAAAATGTATAACATGTGTAGACATAAAGGTGTATGGGTTAGTAAGCGTGTATATATATATTTTTGTATGTTTGTGTATTCTCGAAATGCAACACAGGTGTTCTTGCCCCAAGTTGCATGTCATGCCCACGAAACATAAAATTTCGCCTCGTTATAATTACAGTGCTTGGTTATTATACTTGTATATATGGTTGTTGTTGCTGCTCGTTGACTGCTGGTGCCTCAAATGTCGGTTGCAATTGAGATTATACTTTTCTTCTGCACTTTTTATGACTTTTCTGGCACTTTTTTAAATTTTTATTTCCACACTCTACATATATACGTCCCGTTTTCTATGTATATCTTATATTTATTCTTCTTTCTTGTTGCATGAAATTGCTGTTGTTCATATGTAGACTCTAAGAAGCGTATTTTTACCGTTAGACATGAGTTAAAGGGTTAAGATAGGCCTGTAAGTATGTGTGTCTTCCAGTTAGTCGCTTTTCTAATTGCTTAATTCGTTATTTAATGAGGTAGAGCAAGTTACTCATTATTTCGAGTTAATAAATGTGTAATTAACCCAATTTTGTTCTACACAATCTTCAAATTATTGAAGGTTAACTAATGACTCAGGGGTTATATATACTTATAATGTAAGTGACACTCTTCGCTTGAGCGCCGAAAAGTGAAGAGATTGTAGAGGCGATTAAAAAAACATAAACACATACATACATACACATTAAAATTTTACAGAACAATTAATGCGAAACGCAATGATTTTTAGTAGTTTAGTAACTACTAGTGCCACAGCTTCAAAATTTATAAGTTTGCTACGATGTTTGTAACATCCGAGCTGTGTGTTGATTTAGCGATGGCCGTCTATCCGCCCGTCTGCATGTATGTATATACGCGAACTAGTCTTTCAGTTTTTGAGATCTGAATCTGCAATTTTGATCACGCCTTTTCCCCCGAAGAAGCTGCTCATTTGTAGGAACTGTCGATATCGACTATTATAAACTGATCGATAGAAATCAAGTTCTTCTATAAAAATACTTCTTTATTCAGCAAGATATCTTCACAAAACTTGGCATGGATTATAGTCCAAGGCAACGCTACAATTTTCGAATGAATTGTTTAGATCAGACCACTATCAATCAAGTTCTTGTATGGAAACTATAAGACTATTTAACTTTACAACAACCTATATATATAGTTTCGAATTTCGAAAGAATATATTCAAACAAGTGTACATTTTTTTTCGAAAATCCAACTCAAAACTCATCCTTTTAGATCCATAGGTTCCTCTTAATCTTGAGAAGGAACGAAGTTTTAGAAAGGCAGGTAAGAGAAGTTGCTGAGTGCCGACAGAAGCTTAGAAGATTTGAGAGCGAATGGGCTACATTTTTAACGCTGAATCGCTTGAACTTACGTTAAGCAAGTACCATATGAGTTCAAACAGATAAGTTAGTAAAAAATCTTTTACACTACTTACAATAAAGGATTAGCGCGGAAACTAACACATATACACACTAACGCATACTAACACAGTGCAACTCATAATGCCTTTACGTAAGAAAGGGATGAACGATCGCATGTTCCCAAGAGTTTCGGTTAGAATTGTCAATTGGGTCTTAAGAAACTCAAAGAAACTTTAACAGAAACCCCTGAATGGATAATTAACAGGTGATTTAATAGGTGGCTACTTTACTATCTACTGACATTTCTGTCAATAATGTCCAATTTTGTATCATGACCATACCGAGAGCCACCAAAGTTGATGTGAGTGAAACAATCTAGGAAATTTTTCAAGGAAAACGCTGTACAAATCTTTGTCGAATCAGTTCAGTAAACATTGGTTGGTAGATATTACCTGCAATTTGGAAGAATCATTTTAATTCATAATAAATATTCAAAAGATCTGTAGAGTTGTAGGCCAGGAAATATAGGAAAAATTTGGCAAAACATTTGTCAAAATGTGATTATTAAACTATTTTGATTATCTCCAATCGTATAGTTTTTTTACTACAAATTTCGAATATGTTATGGAAAATAATGACTTCATTCATAAGATAAAAATTTATGTTCTTATATTCATACCATATAAGGAGGATATACTGGATTTACTTCTTTCTGGCTGCCTACAAAGTTTACAGGAAAACTTACAGAGCTATTAGGTTGAAGTGTCATATTTACTATTCTTCATCGATGTTCAAGATAATTAGTATAAAAAGTAGAGACAACAGAAGCAATGAGACTAAAGATGAAGGTGGATGAGGTGAAAACTGTATGTATTTGCTAGTATATTTATAACTCTTAATGCCAGCGATTGAGTGCTTTCACAAATGTTTTTAGCAGTCAGTAACATCCTTGAACGAAAAATTTTTGGCGTAAATTTTTCTAAAATTTTTATTAAATATATAATTAAAGCGATATCAGAATAATTATATTCATCATAACTAAATTTTTCTTCCTTCAACCAATGACAATACTATAATATAATATATAACTATTAAGATTGAAAAACCTGACATATTCTGTATATCAGACAGAAATCAACGGGATATATTCTCCTAAAAATCACAAATTCTTGAAAGTTTAGTATAATTGAAAAAAAAATATTTTTTTTAATCAATACCGAATACTCCACAAATATTTTTCCAAACGACGCTTGCCAACGTGACCACTTTTTTATGTAGTACAGTGTAATTGCAGACATTAAGTGAGTTATTTTTAAAACAGCAACCGACACCTTGGAACATATAAATTGTGTTGATTTAAATTAAAACAGCTTTAACTATTAAGCGGGTAATTACTTTGAGCTATAATTAGAAAATATTTGCATTTGGAATTTTAAAAAGCTGAAAATAAACATGTAAATATATACAAATGTACATAAATATGTGGTAACACCTATTCCATGTTATTAGCTACAATTACCACTATTAAATGCAATTACAATAATTAATTACCATAATTTACCCAAACCATAATTTATACACAATACAAAAGCACTACTCGTCATGATACAAGTACAAAAATATTTAAATATGTATTTATTTGTCATAAAACAAACGCATTGATAAGTTCTGTTTGACAATTAAAAATTAGAAATTTAATTTAGAAAATATTTAAAACTTTTTTAATAAAGTATAATTATATATAATATTTTTAGAAATTCCTGTTATGTAGTTAGCTTATGTGACTGTAGCACTCTTCAGAGAAAATAATTAAGTTGAAATTGTGAAACGAAAGCAAAAGAAAGGATTAGTTTAGATAATAACGAACGTTATGTTCAAGCCTACTTTTATATTCGATCCCAAAAACCTGAGATTTTGAAAGTCCACTGAAAAAAAAAAATTTAGGAATATTTTCCATTCCGACAAATGAACATCTTGTTGGTGAGAAAAGTACGTGTAAAAAATTTCAGATCGATATCTTAAAAACTGAGGGACTAGTTCGTATATATACAGACGGACGGTCATGTCTAAATCGACTTAGCTCGCCACGCTGATCATTTATATATACACTCTCTCTGACATTTCGTTTAGGGTATTACAAACATCCAGGCAAACTTAACATACTTTGTTCAGGGTATAATAAGGCAATCTGAACTTTATGGCTACGGAAGGAAATTTGTCTGGAAGGAAGATGTAAGGAACACTAAGTCATCTCCTTAGAGTTCGGGGGTCTATATTGTCAGAAGAAAATGAGTATCTCTCTTGAGGTTTTCAAATGCTTGTATTTCGTGCTGAAATTGTAATTTTCAACGCTGTAAAATAAGTCCGGAAAGATGCACGAGAGGGGAACTTAGACTTCCACAAAAATGAAGTATACCGAGGGTTCAATATGGTAATATATGGATGTCATATATTAGTTGAAATTATTAGGCACATGAATCTCAAGCCCTCGCAGCTAATAATGTAATGATTAGCAAGTCTTCGACTAAATAGAAATCCAAAATTATTTAAATTTTTTCAGAAAAACTCCATTAGCCTGTCGATAGTTTTGAGTGATTTAGATCAAAAGTCGAAAGTGGTTGCTTTAACCTCTCATCAGATATTGAGATGATCTTAAAAAACTATGTACCCGAAATATTTGTTCATATAACAAAAAAAAAAACAAAGACATTATGGAAAGTAGATTTTGAATATTTATCTAATTAAAAACTTTTAGAATGCAATTAGTAATATTCTTTTTAAATAGAAAAACTTTAAGCAGCAAAAAGTTAATGACAAAATAAATTCAAATCAGTAAAAATTTATAAATATTAACAAGTTCTTATCAATGCACTTTCTCATTTTATTTATTTTTTAAATTTAATTGTTAGTTTCAACATGGCTAAAGATTAGTACACAACTTTATAACTATTTCTGTTTTTGTATATAGACTTACCCGATCTTTTCGATTTTGCGCATCGGAAATATCACTTTCCTGCGAGTGTTGTTGGTGTACTAGCTGAATTTTTCCTTGAGATATCGTTATGTAATTCGTTGGTGGAGAAAATGCCTGTATGTCGTCTTTATCGTCATCTTCTTCTTTTATATCTAGCGTTCTGGAAGAAATAAGAGAAGAAAATAATTAAAAATTAATTTTTTTTTAAATATTTTCAGTGGTGAATTAGTATGATAGGTATAGAATAGTCTTTTCTGATAAACAACTACTTTACTCACTCGTCAAAATATGTGAAAGAGGTGAGACAGATATCTAGGTGAGTGTGTTTCAGTACAAGAGAGCACGTTTGGGGTTACCTTAGCAAAGTGGTATAATACCTTGCAGTTACATTTCTACTTCATTATGCCAGTTTAATTGTCATTCGCTTGTTCGTTTCGCCATTTTCTACATTTGGGGAATCAATGGTAGCAAATAATAAAAATCTACGGTTGTCTAGGTCAGAAATGTTTCGTATTGATTAGCGAAAACTAAGCTATATCTTCTCATATGGTAAATGTATGAACATATGCATAACTGTCGCTGAATAGTCACACATTGCAGTGTGGCGAATCTTACAAACGCTTAGGCTGATATAATATAATAGAATAAAAATGGAATCAGGTTTGTTAATGCTCTGTTATATTTAATTGAGCTGGATACATAATTTTTCGACAAGTGAGTAGAAATAACAAACATAGCGCAGAGAGAGGGTGACTTATGTGTATTTAAAATTTCAGATATACCATTATTTATTTACTTAATTTAACCTGTTTATAACTAATTCTTATTAAAAAAAAGATATTGTGATCGTGATATTTATCTTAAGTGGCATAATAAATTTTGTTTGCATATGATAGTAAAAATATATTGTACGTATATGTACATACATACATCTGTATGTTTATGTAAATAATTCACCTAAAATTTTAATCATAAAGCTAAAGCTTGTTTGCTCTACTTTTGTGGCATTAATCGTCCAGCGATTATCTCAGCAAACAACTGCTTACTAGACACACTTTTTTAAGTGTTTCTAATTTCATTATTGTGTCTGCATATTTACATAAGTATGTATGTATATTCACACATAATTACACCAGTATATACTTACATACATATGTACATATATATGTATATGCCTGCTCTTAAGTACGTATTTAAACGTTTCGTTGCACATAAGCCGATAAGCTCGAATTTGAAGTGCATTGAGAACAATTGCAGCTGTTCTTGAAGACAAAGACACATACACATAGCGGCACATGTGTGGATTAACAAATTATCGATTATTTGTTATTGTCAAAAGAAAAAGGTAAATGGGTTAATTGGTGTAGTCAAGTATGTAAATGTTGTTAGTGTTGTTGTAGAGCGATAAGATTCGAGGCAATATGGTGTTTGCAGCCTTGACAAATTTGGGACAACTTGAAAATTGTTTCTAATCTCTAGCAAGAGAGCAACATTTAATGTTGCAATATGGTTTTCTGGTCTACATTTTTGTGCAACGTATAACCATGAATTCGGGTGCTCATTACAGATTGGTGACATTTGCTTGAAAATCTTTCTCCAATCGACTAATGATACTGCATATGAATGTGATCTCTGTAGGTGCTTTATAGCGAATAGACAAAGTAAGGTCATTGCTGGCTGCAACTAAACGGCTTTTTTCAATACTTTAAATATTCAATTAGCTACCATCTCAGATTTTAGAAATTTTTACCTGACAAATGAAGTATTGAGATAATTCGACTTCGCTCGTCATACCATTTTAAGTTAGGTCAGATTAATAGGCTGATTTTTGTGAGGCCACGAATAATCTCACATGGACAGCTAGAGACGCATGTCCGTTGTGATGCCCAGAACAGCTATGAACGGATCAAAAAGACCGTCGCATATTACCAAAGCGTCTACAGGCTGCCACAAATTTATTGAGGTGGCTAATGTCAATTACAGCCAATTCGCCGGGTTCGTAGAAAGTATGACAACTGAGATGCTTCCTGAACCCTAGGCTACTGAAAGCTGGACAATGGAGAAGAAGGTGTCTAGATGTTTCAATCTCACCTTCCTCGTTGCAAGTTTGACAAGTTGAGTTCTCGGAAATCTTTACCTCACCGCGTGAGTACAAATTGTACATTGCGGCGATGTGTACGTTGCTAAGAGCAAGCGGTTCAATGAATTTTTTGCATTCTACTTTGGACCAGAAGGCTTTTACAACTCAACATAAGTTGGTTGCTGACCAACGTTTGCTGAGCTCGCACGAGGCCCATAGATCCAGCATCCAAATGAACGAAGACAGGGTAACCTCTGCGTTTGAGTAAGGGTGCCCTTTCTTGCAAGCTTATCGGTTTTACAATTTCCGACGATTCCGCTGTGACCAAGCACCCAGGCAATTTTAGTATGAAAGTAGCTTGAAGCTAGTGCTTGTGGGAAGGGTTACATAAGGAAGTTGTCTTTTTCATTTTCAAAACTAAAATATTATCTGATTATGATTAAGTTTTGAATCGATTCAAGACACAAAAATTTATACGCAGACATTCTATTTTTTGTACATTTTTATTACTCACTTAATGGCCAATTTTTTTTGTAGATTTCAGAAAATTTATAAAAGAAGTCGGACAACAATCTTTCAATATTTCGTAAAACAATAGACGATATAATGAAGTTGTCCTTGAAATTCAAAGCAAAAACTAAGAAACATACAAATCGCGAATGAGCTAATGCTGATGACCAAAAATTAATAGCCAATCGCTAGATGAAAGGGTATATTCTAAATTTATCTTTGCCTAATCAAATCTGTACAGAATGAAATTAAATATGCAAAACAGTTGGGAGTGCCAAATATGGATGTCGTAATACTAAAGATAGAATTAAACAAGAAATTGATAGTTCTGCTGATATTTACAGCAACAAACATCTTAAAATGCTGATTTATATTTTGTATGCCTGTATGTATTGTAATACAGTCTGTATATACTCGTAATACACACCATAAGAAAGTTGGTAAGTTATTTTATTTTTTGTTTTTGCTTTTGCTTTTTCTTTGTCAATTCTAACAACAACGTTCATCGCCTACAGTCGCTCAGCTGCGCGTGTATTGCCTTATTTTGATTTATTTTGCTGTTGTTGTATTTTTTAGCGATTAACGCTTTACTTTTTCGTCATTTTTTCGAAACACCAAAACCGAAACTTGTTTTCCCTGTTTTCGTCTGTCAATCGATTTTATGCGAAGTGAAAAATTTCATTCATAAGCTTTTTGGTGAAGTGTTGACTTATGCGCTGAAAGATGAAGGCAGCAATAAAATGTATAGGTATATGTATATAAATACAACAACAAATAAAATGTATATATGTATACAGTAACAACAATAGTAAGTATGAGGCTCGCATTTGCTATGTGGTTGGTGACTGCAACTATCTGTTGCTTTTCGTTTACTTAGACAAGTAGTCGGGCCAATAGTGTCTATAAATAGTGACATGTGTACTAACATATATGTATATTAATACGGCATCGCTGATTACAGTGGTGGTGAGAGGTGTGTTTACTAGGAACTAATAAAATTCCATTTTATATGGAAAAAGTAAAGAATTTTTAATTTTACAATTAAATTTTTTTTGGAATACTGAAAAAAAATTAAATTAAATTGAAAACAATAATTAAAATTAAAAAAAAAAAATTAAATTTTACAAAATTAATTTTTTTTCGCTTCTAATGTCATTTAATGCTTACAATAAATTGTAAATTGTATCTTATATTTAAAAAGTGGGGATTATTTTAATTAACGATTGAATTATTTTGGAATTATTATATGATTTAAAAAAAAAATTAAGATATTTGTTTAATAATAAATGAATTTTATTGTTAATATTAAATTCACGTTTGAGAAAAAGAAAAAGAAATATAAATATATATGAAAAAAGATTGACTAAAGTTATTAACAATCTCAAATTATTTTTGGAAAGTGTTTTTTTAGACTTAAAACCTAAATAAATAAATAAAATATATAGTTATAAAGCAATATATTTAAGTAAATAAATTAAATAAAATTAATTTATAGCAAAAGTGATATTTTTTGCTTTTTTCAAACTTTTCAAATTTTTTTATAATTAACATCCTTGTTAGGCAGGGCGTATGAGTAATATTTACAGGTAGTATTCACTGAATTATAAATATTTTAGGAATCGCATAAAGCATATTTATAGATTAGAGAAAAAACAAAAAATACCGCTAACTTCAGCTGCAGCGTAGCTATAATACCCTAAATGGTGTTTATCTTGAGTTTGATCGGTCTGCTTGAATGGCAGCTACATACTTGTACATATGTATATAGTGGTCAAATTTTAATAATTTTTGGAGTTTGTACTGTTGCTCTTTAGACAATAATCTATGCCAAATTTCGTGCAGATATCTTGTCAAATAAAAAACTTTTCCATACAGAGACATGATTTTGATCGTTTGGTTTGTATATCAGCTACATGTTATAGTGGTCCTATCTGAACAATTTCTGCGAAGATTGCATAGTTGCCTTGGGCTATAATTCATGCCAAATTTCGTGAAGATAATTTATTAAATAAAAAAGTTTTCTATACAAAGACTTGCATTTGAGCGACTAGTTTGTATGACAGTTATATGCTATAGTAAATCGATCTTAAAAATTTCTTCGAAAATTGTAGCGTTGCTTTGGAAAATAATTTATGTTAAATGTTGTAACGTTATTTTGCCAAAGAAGAAAGTTTTCCATAGAAGAATTTGAGTTTGATCTATCAGTTATTATGGTAGCTTTATGCTATTGTAGTCCGATATCGTCGGTTCCGACAAAGGAGCAGCATCTTGTGATGAAAAGGATATCTGCAAAATTTCTATGCGTTATCTCAAAAAATGAGGTCCTAGTTTCCATATACATATATATATATATATATAGACGAACAGACCGTCATTGCTAAGAACCTTCAGCCACCTCTGTTTGCCAGCTGATGGAAATGTTTTGAATTGTTGTTTTTAGAATTATAATAGAGATTTAAGCACTATCCTTCCAGAAACTTTAAGCTCTGAGTAATTATTTTTTTTTTGGTTGCTTTTATTTTCAACCACAGTGTATGCGTAAATCAATATGTTCAAGTAAACTACAAGTC